CCAAGGTCTGGAGTTCAATCCCCAGTACCCCCCCAAAAATTGCATTTGTATATAATAGCAGTAAGCAATTAGAAAATGAAATTTTATAACATTATAATTTACTACAGTATCAGAATCATCAAATACTAGGACTAAATCTAACAAAAAATTGCATACCCTCAACATCGATAACTGTAAATTTGCCCAAAGAAATTAATGACACTTAAACATTTGTGGAGCTATACCATGATCATAGGTGGGAAAATTCAGTAATTTTCAAATTTCAGAAGTTTTTTCTTTTAACAAATCAATTTATGAATTCAATGCAATCTCATTGAAAACCATGAAAGGTTTTTTTGGGGGGTGGGGTAGGGGGAGAGGTGGACATTGAACAAGTAATTCTAAAACTTATATGGAATTACAAAGCAACAAGTAAAGCAAAATTAGAGCAGTTACATGAGTGGATATCAAGAGTTATTCTATATCATCAATAATGATGACAGCTTGCTATTGGCAAAAGAATAGATATACTGAACAATGGAAAAAAACTAAGTGTCCAGAAGCAAACCACAGATTCACAAACTTAATTTACAATAAAAATGCTACTATAATTCAAGGGGGAAAAATAATGGTCTTTGCATTAATAGGCATTATTTATATCTATGGAAATATACTATGGATATAAACCATGGTCTTTTTAATTAAGAAAATGAGTTCTTACTTGTATGGGAAATATAAAAATTTTGAACTCATAGAAACATAAAGGTAGTTAACAGGGGTCAGAGGGGGAGAGAAATGAAGAGATTTTAGTTAAGGAATATAAACTCAAGTAATGAGTAGGTTCTAGAGATCTAACATACAGCATGGTGACAAGAGTTAATATTATATGGTACACTTGACATTTGCTGAAACTAAATCTTAAACACTCACCATACAAAAAGATAACTATGTGCGGTGACTAACATGTTAACTAATTTGATTGTGGTAAACATTTCACAATATGGAGGTTCTTCAAAACATCATGTTTGTATGCTTGAATAGAGACAATTTTTATTTCTGAATTGCACCTCAATCAACATAAAAAAGGCAATGTTTTCCTATGGGTATTAAGGTAAATGTCAAATACAGAGCAAAATCTGATAAATGGAGCATATTCTAAATCCTAGTTCTCATAGTCAAATATGCAAGTATTCTGTCTTGTTTTCAAGAGTGCCCTTCCTTTCATGTAGAGGAAACATGGGAAATATTTTATCAAGATGAATTTCATCAAATAAGTTCCTGTATAGTACTTTTTGAATGTTTGGCTAAATTTAGATGTTGTGAAATCATAAGACTTCTCAATTTAATCCAATTTCAGCACATTCTATAAGCTTCTAGCCCATCAAAAGATTACTCCCAAATATTAATAGAATAAACACACAAATAATTACAAAATTAATCCTTGTACACCATTTGACCACTCATTTAATTTGTTTTGCTCCTCCCTTGCTTTCTTAGGCATCAGTTTCACTCAGTTTGAAAATATTGTTTTTTATAATTGACATCTCAAAGCTTCTAGTAGCTGAAGTTAATCAACAAATTGTTCTAGTTGAATACTTCAATAAAGGAATCTTAGCTGATTCTGAATAAAATACAAAAAAAATAGGACTCATTTACAAGAAAGTACAATATCATTGAAAGAAACTTAAGTTGATTCACAAATTAGCTCTTCAAATATTCAAATTTTTCTAAAATCTGATTGCTGATGGGTTGTAAAGAGGAACTATTCTTATGTAGATATATTCTATTTTGTATTCAACATCCTATCCATCACAAAAATTTAGCTCATTATTATATATATTAAGAACTATTTGTAGATTACTTTAACTGTGGCTTCTAATATGATAGGTAGGCAGCCATAGTTTGTTTGGACAGAGCAATGTGTTCTGTCTGCATCCAACCAATCTGAGTACATTATGCTGCATGCATTTCTTAATTGTGGTATGATATTATGACCCACCAAAATTTATATTCCTATCATCACCACAAAATAGAAAGTTTTATCTTCAATGTTGAACTTTTAATTTACCTTGCCAATTGCATTAGTTTTATATCACTGTGACAAAAGACCAGAGATAATCAATTTAAAAAGAGGAAAGATTTATTTTGGCTCAGTTTCAGAAGTTTCAGTCTGTGATTGTTTGGCTCTATTGCTTGGAACCCATGGTAAGCCAGGATATCATGGAAGGGAGTGCTTGGTGAGAAAATCTGCTCACCTCATGGTGGTCAGGAAGTAGAAAAAGAAAAGGGGCCTAGAACTCAATATCCCTGGCAAGGGTGTGTTCTAGTGAGCTCACGACTTCTCACCAGGTCCTACATCTTAAATGTTCCATCAGCTAAGGACTAACCCTTTAATACTAGAGCTTTTGGAGGGACATTTAAGATTCAAACTATAATGGCAATGTTAGATTTTTCACTTTTGATAGAATGAACTTCCAAAAGTTTTACATTGCCTCTACTATTTGGACTGAAAAAAATCAGAATTAAGTTAGCTGATTTTATTTAGTTGGCTCATTAATGATTCTAATACAAAATCTATTATTAACTCTTCATTAAGCTCTGCTAATAGGGCCAAAGCTTTTAACATATATCACGTCAGCTTTCCTATATGCTCAAGAAAATTTAAATTGAATAATTAAAAAGATTAAATCTTTTACCCTAACAGAAAAGTCATGCTTTACAGAGTGTTATATAAATGAATCTTTTATAGTATCCAGGGATAGTTGTTTTTGTTCAATATAGTCTACTTAAAATACCAATGAACTTTCAAAGTAGCTATCAGTGCCTCTTCAGCAGAACTGGGTCTTCGGTTTTCACTGAGGTGATTGCTATCATTAAAACTCTATTGGTGAACCATAAATGTCGACATTTTGCACGTTACATATTTAGTAAGAACTTTCTTAGAAAATATATGTTCATAACTCCAATTTTATTAAATATGTACTTCTATGTTTTTAGCTTGTCACCGTGAAGGGCTAGCATACAAATAAACATTTCAAAAATTAGAATAAATACTTGCAAACTTACATCATGTAACAAATGATGAATCATCCAACCAAGACTTACTCTCCATATACCTTTATTAATCTTATATATTTAATGTTCGTCTGATCTACTTTTTCTTACATTTTTCATTGACTCTTCTTTGTGTTGTCTGGTTGCTTTCAACATTTCCTAGGCTGATCACAGGCCATGGTACAAACTTAGTTGTCTGAACACACTAAGTAGTCAGCAGGACTGAATATTCACCATCCCCAAATGCGGGAGACTGCAATATTTTGGCGGGGGGGGGGGGTTACCGGCGATCAAACTCAGGACCTTGCACTTTCGAGGCAGGCGCTGGAACCACTGAGCTAAATCCCCAGCCCCAAGGGAGACTGCAATATTATGTTCAAAGCAGGCTGTAAGCAGTGCCAGCTGTAAAGAGTTCACCCTACCATTGGCATTTTTATAGGAATGAGTCTGGCCAAATCCTGTGCTGAGGTCAGAGTAACTCACACCCAAATTCTGCTCCCACAACTAAAACCTTCTTACTAGAAGGACAATGTTCAAATTACAACCATTTATTTTATCTGTTCTCTTCCTAATTTGAGAATGTTTTATCTTGTCTTTTATAAGCCTTGCTTACATTAATTTCCATAAAAACTGCATGAACGGCACATCTTTACACATAGTGCTATACTTGCATGTAGCTCACCTTTACCCCAATTGATTACCAAGAAAAATCAGTGGCTTAGACTGGCCAGCCTTTGTTGGATGCACCAGCATTGGTCATCCTGGCATCCTGCTTTCTGTCTCTCTTATTCTATCTTTTAGGCTTTTTTTCCTCAGGCCTGTGTCTTACACTGGCCAGGAGACTGGACCCTACTGCAGAGGTTTCCAGTAACAAATGCTCCAGGGGTCCCCAGTACCCCAGGGCACTGGAAGAGGTAGGCTGCTTTAGCATCTTGACTTAGAACACATTACCTCTCACCAGTGACTCACTTCCCTGCATCCTGTCCATGAGAGGAATCTTATGCTATGCTACACCTAGAGACCTGATATAGCAAATGCTCTCAACTTTCCAGCCCATAACCTCATCCCTTTACCATTTCATAGATTCCACTTTGAATTATTAATTCGTGCATCTTTTTGCCAGGAAGCTATTTCTTTACATGGGAGCCTATTTAGCTGCTTGTGCAGAAGGCAAAGAAGTCTCCCACCTTCCCCTACTCTCAGTATCCAGTGACCAATGGTTGCCAGGAGTTGATATATACATACTTCAGCTTTTTTCTTATAAGGGACAATTTAGAATATTTTTTACAATAGTTCCACAGAATTTTACCAGTGGTATTAAGTTCCAGTTTTTCACAAATTGATAGTATAGCCTTTATTGAATATTTTCCCTTATACTCTCCTAATCATCTAGTCTTTCCTTCACCTCCCAAACAAATTGTTTGACTTCTTTTACTAGAATCCGATTTTGGAGGAACCTAAATAAAGACAGGTAGTATCAGAAGTTGTCCATTATTCTTCACACCTAGAAGAACCTGGAATCCAACTCCAGAAGGAGAGGCAAGCAACCAAGAACCCAGTAAATTTGGTTGGCAAACCACTTTTAGAAGCTGATTACCTGAAAACAAGAGGATTGAACATGAGTTCAAGTCCATCGTGGGCTACATAGGAGAGGTTCAAGACCAGCCTAAACTACAAAGTGAGACCCTGCCTCAACAAAACAAAACAAAACCATGGAATGACTGTTTATCCTATAAGATCTGGGCCATAGTCCAAGGAGAAGTATACAGAAGACCAAGGTCGGACACTGGGACCTACAAGGAGCAGCTCTACACTTCTAACAAGGATGCACTACGAGAAAGTTCCAACAGGTTGTATTGTTACTAATGTATTTAAACCACTGATCATTGGATTTTTCTGGAATTTTCTCATCTTGATTTTTAATATCTGCATTTCCACCCCTGTGCCTGGTGGAATTCTGATTCATTATGGATAATCTGTCCCATGAAGACCTTCAGCTGAGGGGTAACCAGCTCACTGATGAGTCTCTGGAGAGTACAAGGAAAATCTTGGGCTTAGCCATTGAGTTTCAGGATGCAGGAATCAAAATCATCACCATGCTGGATGAACAAGGGGAACAACTAAACCTCATAGAAGAAGGCATGGACCAGATAAATAAAGACATGAGAGAGATAGAGAAGACTTTAACAGAACTAGACAAGTGCTATGGCCTTTTTGTCTGTCCATGCAACAGGTCAAAGAACTTTGAGTCTGGCAAGGCCTATAAGGCAACGTGGGGAGATGGCGGAGGCAACTCACCTAGCAACGTGGTATCCAAGCAACCAGCCCGAGTCACAAATGTGCAGCCTCAGCAGTCAGCCAGTGGCAGATACATTAACCATATAACTAATGACACCAGAGAAGATGAGATGGAAGAAAACCTGATTCAAGTGGGTGATATCCTGGGAAATCTACAGAACATGGCCTTGGACATGGGGAATGAAATTGAAGTTCAAAATTGACAGATAGACCGCATCACAGAAAAGGCTAACACCAACAAAGATCGTATTGACATTGCCAATACCAGAGCAAAGAAACTCATTGACAGCTAAACCTAAAAGAAAAAAAGAAGTGGTCCTAGGAAGCAGATCTTCAAAATGAGATTCTAGAATTGGTCACTCAACAGTCAGATTAAGTACAAATGTGAAATATTTTGAGATTAGAGGCACTGGTCTAGAAGATATATGGAGGGACCCATGGAGTGGGTACAGACTATGCAGAACTTTATGTGTTATGTCACACCTGTAAGGGAGTATCCACTGCATAGACAGTCCCGAACATGAAGCAGGTAAGAAAATAAGTAACAGTCAACCAGCCTCTGTTTTGAGTCACATGAGGGCTTATATAATGTGTGTATGATCAATGTAGGCCTAATAATAGAGATGGAGTCTATGTATGGGCAAAAAAGAATGGACTTCATCTCACCAAAGGTGCTGTAGCTAATGCCAATGATGAATGCCCAGCCTATTGTAAGGGCAATATATGTAGCAGATCCCATATTGCAGAGTGGGGGGATAATCAGGAACCAAGCATTTTAGACTGATTCATACATATGCCCCCCACAATTAAGTTTCAGTTGCCTTCAGAGGTAGCTGGCTTGAGTCCACACCTCTGATTTGCTATTTTCCCTCCCTTGTTTCACATCCTTTGCTCGTCTACTTGCATTAACCTTCACTTTCAAAATGAATGTCATGTATCAGAATTATTTTTGGGCGGTCTTCTTTTGAGGAAACAAAAAGAAAAAACAAATTGAGAAAAGAGAGATGGGTTATTATTGAACTCAGTACCATGCTCAGTCCTCATGTATATCATAAATGATAAACTGAGAGAAATAAGAAACATACGTGTAGTTCTTTAAACCCATCCCAGCTTATATTTGTACAGATATTAATTATAACATTTCATTAAAATGAAAACTCCAAAAGCAACATTAAACCAAATGAGACAATGAAACAGTAAATATAAAGTGGAATGTCCCCAGAAAATTAGGATTTCAGCTGTCCCACAAATATGCTTAGTCCATGACTATCCTTTGAAATTTGAACTGACTTCATCATTTGGATTTCATTTTTGTTTGATGTTCATGTGAACTCCAAGTAACAGATTCCTGACTTTCTCCTATATTTTGACCCTTGACGTTTGCCCGATGCTGAAGATATCACTTCATCTTGGTCTTGTGAATTGAGAATACTTTGTCATGATCAGAATCCCTGCTAAATCAAAGCATCTGACTCTCACAAGTCTTTTGAATGTTAAGCCAATAATTGTTGTCCATTATTATTTTTGTGAATAATCTCAACCTTTACATTCGTTTTCCTGTAAGTTTTTTTCTGTCTCTTTAGTGTCTGTTATACATCTCTATTCCCTAGCACTTTGAATTTTTCCAGTGGTCTAGGGAGCATCCCAGTCTGATTTTGAAGCAATCATTTTTGAATAGTACAGTTTCTATTATACTGTCCAGCCTGGACCTCTTCCAAACTTGAGTGAGCATGCTTGGCTCTTAGGGATATCTTCCACTCTCAACAACTCTGGGAAGCAGAGTGATGTCCAATTCACACATTCCCAGCTTTTAGCAAAAAGGAGCATTTTAATTGAATTCCAAGGCAGTTCATTTGGGATCTGGAAATTTGTCACTGCTTGTGGGTGGTCTCTTGAGAAGGGTGTGTGTGTGTGTGTGTGTGTGTGTGTGTGTGTGTGCATGTGTGCATGTGTGTATTTCTTTTCTTCTTTTGGTTGGGTCCAGCTAAGATGTATTTGGTGTACTGAGTCATACAGACAAATACAGCTCTAGCCCCAGCCATGTTCCTGGATCATCAACCCTGCATAATACCCCTTTCTTAATTATGAAGGGGGCCAACATCTACTTAGCAACAGGATATTCACCTAATACCAGAGTTGACGCCTTCATAATGCCTGGTGAATCTCAGAAGAGAAGACTTGTCTGTCTCTTTCACTTGTGACCTCACCTCTGTGTCCTTCCAGGATGGCACAGTTAACTAAGAAAGCATTTTAACTGAGAAATTTAAAAATATCTCAGACAGCATACTTCAACAATCAAAATATTCCACCTTCTGAGAGGAATAATTACAGGCCTCCCGTCTCTTCTATCTTTCACAGAAAGATCTGCATGACTATCTCTTGTTCCATCATTAAAGGAGAAATATTTTGTGTCTGCAGAGACAGAGGGTTCACACTGGGAGTTTGGGCTTTTTGTGGTTGACTGATTAGTAGCCCCTGAGGAGAATGAATTGAAGTTTTTGCTTTATTGATTCAGATTTCCCTTGAGGCTCTTATGTTCTCCTGGGATACAAAAGTTATCCAGACTGTGGAATCAGGAATGGTTTTCTGAAGCTTGAGGTGAAAGCAAAATTTTAGAAAGATCACTAGAAGCTGGCTGGGACCCCTGTTTGCACAAACTAGCCTAGATCACAGTGGATTCTTGGTGAGATCAAGATTCTTTTCCTACTCTCAGAGGTACAGTACAGCCAGTGTGGCACCTATCTGTTCATACTATCTCACCAGGCTCAGCTCTCTTTCTTCCATCTTCAAGGAGTTGTTTAAAAGCCAAGCAAACATCCTTGTTTTCCCTGTCATTTGTGATTGGTATGCAAGCTGTTGAACTTTTCTACAATGCTCGCTGTAAATTTGATTTTATGGTTCAAGTTCATCTTATATCCTCAGCCTCTTCAAGGACTGTTGCCCTTAACAAAAGTCCGACTCTCCCTCAGGACACAATTTCTCTTCATAGCTCAACATACTTGATTATCACCAATATGATAATAATGATGACAGAGCAAGAGTATAAATATTCCAGATCAGATGTAAACATGCCATTAGCTCCATTTTTCTCCTTACAACTTGTCTGATCCTTTACATATGCTCCCCATCTACCTACTGGGGATGCATGCATCTAAATCTATCTCTGTGCAGACAATAACCTTGGAATCTATTCGTGTTTAGTCCAGTGGCATATCTTTGTTGACCCAGCCTCATCCTCCTCAGGATTCTTATGGATTTCTCTGATTCTCTGGCAAGTCCTTCATCCAGAATCCTTACCATGTGAGTCTGTCACAGTTTGAAGACTCTATAATACCCAGCTTACTTCCTCTTCTGTCAATCATTTCCTGTGGAAGATAGACCTGTGGAAGATAGATTTGAGATAGCTTTGCTATGGTTTTTGAATGTGTGCCTCACATTTCCCTCAGAAATCTGGTGTTCCTGGTATTAGTGCAAAGATTCAGCACATGACTTTCTTCTTTGCAGCAGTTCTACAATCTCTGATCTAGGGTCCCTAGCTTCACCTTTGACCTCAGGCCATCTTGCTCTGATTTATAATCTCAACCTGTTTAACCTTATCTGGGTCTAGATCTTCGGTACTCACTTTGGTTCTTACTCCAGGTCTATCTGGTTTCCAGGGATTATTTCCCCCAGTTTACCACTTAACAAGAACCTAGCAATTTTTTATGAAAAGGAAAAAGAAGAAAAGAATGGGAGCATCCATTAAACACCACTTGTGGATTATTATGATGCTAAGTTCTCTATGTTCTTCACTTCTTTTAATCCTTATAACAACCCCGTGAAGTTTGCATTATCATCATTCTTTTAGAGATGAGGAAACTGAGGCTCAAGGAGATTAATTAGGTTAGGGAGGTCACAGAACAAATATGAGGAAGCAAGGTTAAAACACTAGTTAGTACAGACCTACAAGTTCTATTTTCTCATGACTACATCATGTCATCTATGCTATACTTAGCTTTTATTTATTGTTTTCCACCAACCTCCTAAATTCTCCACTGAGGCTGGGTCCCGTGTGACTTCCATGGAGAATACTTCCATTTTTCTCAGCTACAGGTAATCAAAGGCTCCTGTTTCTCTTTCTGTGCTGGCTTGGGCAATATCCCCAGCGTCTATTGTCTATGTAAAGAACACCCAGGCGTACACGTCACCCTTGGCACACATGTCTGCTGTGTCTCGATAACAGTGACTGAGCTCTTCCTCTGCTTCAGACTGCCAGATGTGTCTTTTACTAAAATAGAGAAGGGCTACTTAGGAAAAATTAGTCACTGCTTACAACATTATCTATCTAGTTATTCATTTTAGACTATTAACTTCTTGCTGTGATAGATGAGAACTCAGCTTATGCTATCCCCAGGGCCATCCCAGACTAAAATAGTTAACTATTCTGTTTAGTTCCTCCATTAATTAACTTGTAAGGTTTAATGTTTATCTAGTTTTTGTTCAATCAGATATGGACATTTTCTTTAGACCTCTCACTTTATAGGACTAGAATACTAATACATCTATCTTTCCACTTTCCTCTCTATTATTTTGCATCTTCCTTCTACATCCCAGGATGACAGACCAACCATATTTCAATTCTACACTGTTAAGGGTAATGAATTTTCAATGTCATGTCTATAGATTGATTCCAAAATTTAAATGCCATCAGTATTCTCATTGTGGGGACCATACAAATATTATGCCCTGCAGAGCCGAGTAATTGAATTCCATTGAATTGGAATGATGTGTTCTGATCACATTTACTTGCTTAATTATTTGCCCTTCGGTTTCTTCTAATTCTCCCTCTCGGTATTGTGGACCTTTGCCACATCCCTAAGGTCTTTGGGTGTCTGTCTTAAAGATTTCACTGACTCTGTGACGTCCTCCCTGGCTCTGGTTCCGTCTCTCATGGACTCTCCTGCTCAGCCCTGAAGTGACTATTTCCTAGGCTTGATGAATACCTGTCACTCTTCTTTCATTACTGTCTTGGGCTGGTCTCACTCTTCTGTGGAATCCATTTCTTTTTCTGTCTTCTTTTAAACCTTCAGGAATTTTCTATGGAAGAAAAAGTATTGGCAGTGGTGTTCTGAGCTTTGTCTTTATCTCATCCTCATATTTAATTGGTAGTTTGTCTGAACTGGGAGCTTCCTGAGCATGTTCAACAATGTCCTGTTGTCTTCTAGTATCCCATTTGTAAATAAAACCTGTTGTCTTTGTGTATACAGGAGGAGAGACAGGCAAAGTGAAGTCAACTCCCAAATACAGGTTTTCCCTCTTGTGTGCATCCCAGGCCATTACAGGGCAACTCTAAATGAAGAGCCTGTCTACAGTTCTGAAGAGGCTCAGTTTTCTCTTCAAATCTGTTACACTCCCTGATATTCTCCCACCTACT